GCTGAAGCTGGGCTCCTACCACTGTGAAATAACTTCACTGTGTTGTAAAGCTGCCATGCACGAGGAAGCAGAGAGGTCAGATACACGTCCCAACTGGACCCATTTTACAGAATTCCCCCTTTGTAAAGTGCCCATTGATGCTGCAACTGGAATCTGCCCAAGGTTTAGGTTGGACATTAGGAAAAACTCCTTCCCCACAAGGGCTGTCAGGCACTGGAAGGGGCTGCCCAGGGAAGGGGTCGAGTCCCCACCCCTGGGGGGATTTAAAAGCCAGGCAGACGAGGTGCTTAGGGCCAGGGTTTGGGGGTGGGATGGCAGGGGTAGGGGAACGGTTGGGCTGGGGGAGCTTAAAGGGCTTTTCCAACCTAAACGAGTCTATGATTCTAGGTCAGGATGGCTTCATGCTTCAGGAGAAGTGGACACAAGGGTACAGTTGCAGAGAAAACCAGCATTATGATGAACTGTCCCTTATTTTCTGAGATCAGAAATCTGATCAACTGAAAGGATTTCTTCCATCAAGTGTCAGGATTTTTTTATTTTATTAGAAATTTCAATGGGATTCAGTATGTTTACATGCATGGTTACGCTGTTTTCAATTTTCAGACACAAGTCTGAGAGCTATGTTTCTAAAATCTAAACCACCAGAAGTATTTTGGCACGCAGAAGACATCAACATCTAAAGCCGCTTGGCTTTCTTTTGCCCTGCATCTTTTCCCATCCTTTCCCATCTTTTCCATCCCATCAGAGTGGACAGAGAACGCCACCAGATTGCAGGCGTGACATTTTGCTTATGTACAGAGCAGCTGACAATAAAAAAAAGGCGATATAGCTATGTATTGGGCATATGTGGATATTTTCCCTGTGCTGTCTGGTCGGTCCAGCTTCACAGAAGGATGATTTTCTTTTTGCTTTTAGAAAGCTAGAATTATCTTGAAGCTATTTAGCCATTACATTTCCTCAGTACATATATGCATACACAGAGAATGTAACTAGAAGACAATGAAAAGAATAGCACAGCTTGATTTCTTATTTCTTTTGTTGAATTGTTTCAAGTTTTCTCCTTGGAGGAAGAAGTGTTTCTAATAGTTCCAGTTGGAATATACAAAGCTAATGATGTACATTGCTAACGTACAAAACAGATTTCCTATTACAAAGAGCCTTAGACAATAAACGTATAATGAGTCCGCAAGTAATTTCTCACTGAAAGCTAACGGTTCCCGAGTCCTTGACCTAAGTGTGGGATTTTATTTTTTTTTTTTGTCAAGATGGCCAAAGCCATCACAAGTACATAAATTGAAAAAGGGCATAATGGCTATATCAATATGTCCAGAAAACTATTCAGACTCATGAATGCAATCTACAGTAAGATCAGCCAAGGTCATCACCAGATGTTTCTTGTCCCACACGCCACAGCTTGATTGTATTGTAATTAATTCAGCTGAAAAGTCTCTGGGAGAACTGTGTTTTCAGCACAATTTCAAGCTTGGTTTCAAATACCAGAAATCATTTCTCATTTCGTAAAACATCCTAGACAAATGTGAAACTCTGCAGCTAAAGTATGCCAAAAAGTACTTAGAGAAATTGCATTTAAAGAGCATTAAAGGAGCATTCTTAAACTAGTTATGATTAAAGCTGGAACTTTGGGGTTCAGAGACTTAGGCACGTATAGCAGAAAGGCTCAGGGCCTTACTCAATAAACTATTTGCCCCAGACCATGCTGCAGGTTCAGAGCTACAACAGAAACCTGAACTCGTGTTTCTGCACCAAACCATAGCAGTACTTACCCAGCCAGCCATAATATGAACAAACAAAAAAATCAATATTTCCCAAGGTATTTTACAGCTCATCCTCCATTTTTTATGGCATATCAGAACACAGACCTGCTACGTTCTTGTTGTGAAGAAAGATGCTTTTAGTTATTTAAAGTTTGAGGTCCATTTAAAAATGAATTTCGTTGAAGTCAGATACTCACAGGCATGAAGTTAAGACATAAATAAAACAGAACATATTTTATCGTAATGTGCCACTTCATTCTGCTGCAATATTTGCAGAGAGAACACATGGAAGTGCACTTCCAAACTACTTTAAACCTAATTCTGGACAATCCAAGCCTAAGACAAAATGAGATACATTAAAAATTATGGTTCTGGTTTTCAGAGGTATTGACCACCAAAGCCTATATTTAACTTCAGGTAGAATTGTGTTCAGCATGTCTGAAAATTGGGCCCTAAATTAAAGATAAGCGTTTTTACCTGGGTAACATCCCTTTAAGTACCACCCACAAATTATACAGTGATAGTTCTTCCCATAGGAAAACTGTCTTTTGGATTATTTTAAGATAAAAGCACAGACCAATGTCAGCCCTCTTACAAGCTGCGTACTAACGCAAGGAGGGGAAGGAAGGATTTATCTGGAATCTTCTAATTGACCACAGTGGAATTGGGCCTGGACCCATTAAAACATTTATGAAAAGCAGTTATGGAGCATGAATAGTACCCAAAAACATTAATGTCTAGGTAATATTTAAAGTAATTTGTTTAAAAATAACATGGAGGGGAGGAGCAGGAGCCCGGCTGCATTAAGAACTAAATTCCTCCAACTTTCTGATGGTGTTTTTTACCATTATTTTTTAAAACAGTTGCAGAGACAGAAGTTGCTGCTTTTTCTTGGGCTCCTCCTTCCCCAGCGCTGGTCCGAGTGTTAGGGATACTCCTCATTTTCACCTCAGTCCTGAATTATCCTGGTTTTTAGACTAATGTGCCAACCTGTCACACCTTCATCCTTTCTCAGGAATGACGTAGGCAGCTAAAGGCATTAAAACAATATAGGCCTCCAAAATTAATGTATTTTGCAGGAAGTAAGTGTGGGGCTATCCGAAGCCAGAGGGTATGTTCGGAGTAAGGGGATTCAATTCCAGGGTGTCACAAAATGTTCTCCATCACCACAGCGTGGCAGAAACCTGTTCTTAATGCTATGATAGATGCTCTAAATACGCCACTTACTCAGAGTTATTGGGTATGGGAACACGCAAATCTACCAATAATGCAACAGCCTATGCTTTATGAAGGGCACGGCGAGCAGAGAGGTAGCCTCCCTAAGGATTTAACAGTAGCTGCGTAACCCCATGGTGTCTTGAATATGAGCCTCTGCCCACGTTCATTAATCTTGATAAGAGAGGGGATTTACCTCCAATAAATATCCTAACGCTAGGCCTCTTACAGCAGCTTTCCAGATCGCTCCTAGTCCAAACAAAGCTGCTGTTAGTGTGTGATCTGTAGCTACCAAGTACCCCCATGGAAATCACCTAGCAAATGTTCACGCAGTTAGCAATGGGAAATGGCGAGTTATAAATGAAAAGTGAACAAACAGATTGGTAGGAAACATCTGTGACCCTCCCTGTCCAGTGTATCTTCTCTCCAGTTCCCAAAGCATAGACTTCCCCTGTGTTCCTTTATAATTTATTTCCAGAACATCCCAAAACAAACAATGGCCATGTGCACATTTACCTTTGAACACCTGAACATTGCGTCTCTTCACAGGCAGAAGAGCCAGGTAGTCATCCTAGAACTATAAAAGACATACTTTCAGTAAACAACGTAGCTTTTGACCAGAAAAGATCTGCAAGAATATGTGATGCTAATGCTTATTTTCTCTAGTGCTCTCAGAGGGATGTAGCAGCAACGTGGCTGAGCCATCTCACCAAGGGCCATGACCGCTCCCTTCCAAAGGCTGCCCATGCTGGAAGTCAGTGCCTCACCATTTGTCCCAGACACTCTCCAAAGCTTTCCCCCGGCTGCCTTTGGCTACCTGCAATTTTTCATGGAAGTATTTAAGACAAGCCATTGTGGAGATGAAAAGCAAAGCATTTTGCTTTGAGAATTTTGTTTCAATGTCTCGTGAAAGGTGTGGCCTCAACACTTCGTGTCCTTGTATTTAATCTGTGCTCCCTGCTTGGGCTATGTATCACAGCGACTAATACAGCCTGCTTCTCAGATCAGTCACGGTTTAATCAAACACAACTTCTTTATTTTCTTGTTTATTTTTCAGCCGAAAAAAGATATTTTGGGGGCTGCGTATTTTTAGTGAAGAAACAAAGTCTCCACTAAAAAATACCAGACGAACATTTTTCAAGTAGGCCTACTTTTTATTTTTTAAGGTCTGTTCCTAGTGAGGAATCTTTGATGTAGTCAGCAAGTCTTTTCTTCTGCCTAGAAGACCTATTGATATATAACCAAACAGAGAGCAGAGAAAAAAAACCACTCTTGTGTGTCACCGGACTCTTAATCTATTTTATGAGCCTTAAACACTACAACTCTGCACAGTAGAAATTTCAAAAGATCTAGAAACTCCATTTTTTCTCCTTATGTGGCTTTTCTGAACCTGAAGTTTTACTTTTCATGAATATTTTTAACCAGCACAAACCCTTTTAGGCTTCTTACATCTATCCTTTGTCAAGGAAGAAAGAAGCAATCCCGTGAATCAGATCCCATGTGCATAATCACACAACTATACGAACTAATCGCATCCATAAAAAGCATTCGGTTCAAACATTGCTGTATAGGGAATGCTTAGCCTTAAAAATGATGCTGTTTGGACTAGCAACTTTGAATACATCTTATGAGCAATCCATCTGCATTAGTACTTTTTCTTTCTTTTTTTAACTTAAATTAGGGGACTTGAGCAACCTGACAGTGTCTATAATAAGCCTGCTGATTACTTCACCTGTTGTAATTCTTGCTTCTTTTTTTGTTTCACATTTCTGTTATACTAAGATGCACACTGTTAAAATGTTTTAAAAAACTGATCAGATCTTGATTGGCAACTAGGAACTTTAGAGTAGTAACCTCAACCAAGTTCATAACGAGTTTCAAATCTGTTACCCCATATAGAGCCATCACCCGTCATAAATAATGCAAGGTGAGTGGGCTGAGTTGTCTACTTAGCTTGGGTGGACTCATTTACAGCACAGATTTGCCACCTTTGGTTTTAGCTCCCGAGTCATGGCCAAGCCTGAGGGCTCGCCATGCAGGTGGAGGAGTGGTGGCAGGTAGCGTGGTAGCCAGGGATGAGGGGTGGTGGGCACATGGAGACGCTGGGGACATGGGGGACACTAGGTGGTGACAACAGGGGGAGTGCCAGGGATGTAGGGGACACCAGGTGGTGTGTGGCGGTGTGCTCCCCCCCTCGTGTCTGACTCCCCCTCCTTTGACCTCTGTCAAGTGATAACCACCCGTGGCGGTGGTGATAGATGTGTCTGGTCTGTGTCTGGTCCTGAAGGATGCACCCACTGGATGTGGGGGGAGACAGATAACAATACGATAGCCAAGGGCTGCTGTGGAATGTGCCCACCTAAGCACAGTGGTCAGGATGCAAATAAGACTGCAACAAATTCCCGGTAAGTGACTAACAGCACGCTAACTTGGAAATCTTAGCTAAGCGACATAAAGGATTAATTGCGCATAATTAGACATAAACCGTTGACCAAGTCTGGGACTAGGATTGGATCCAGCCACACCTAGACTCCTCTCTGAGGGAGTTTAGAAAGCAAGGGGATCTTTTCTGAACCTCATGACTCAACGGGAGGGTCTCCCTGACAGTTTTGTCTGACCCCGTCCTCTGTGCAGTAAATAACAAAGTGTACCTTGCCATCGAATCTCATAAACTATTGTCGCAGTTACCACTGAACTTTGTTAACTCACTGTTTCACACCAATAAACCACATTATTTTTGCCTCCCTCTCACTCCATCCACGACATGGTGGGGACAGAGCAAGGGCACAGGGTGGTGGGGACACAGAGATGCTGGGTACATTGGATGGTAAGGATGTGGGGAACACCAGGGATGGCGGAGGGACATGGGGTGGTGAGGATGCAGGGATGCCAGGGACAGCAGGCGGTTAGAACACGGGGAGGTGTGGGACACCAGATGGTGGGGTCTCCAAGGACACCTGGAATGTTGTCTTTCCAAGCCCAACACATTCCGCCCTGGCACTGCAGCTGCCAGCAGCAGATGGAGACCTGGCCGGTAAGTGAGAAAGCTGCCTGTCTTTATGCCATGTAGGGAAGGTTATCACAGCTGGGTTACCTCCTGCCTGTCCCTAAGCTGTGCAGAGAAGGTTATCACAGCTGGATTACCACATCTGGCCTGTTTCCCTCTGAGGAATAACCGTTGGCTTCTCCTGAGCTGGCTGGAGCTTTGGTGCTTGCACTGGGGATAGTCCTGTGGGGGAATGGAGGGCTCCTGGCCATCACAGAGGAAACCCACGTCTCCTCCTCTATCACCTTCGAGCTTAATGGGGTGGGGACTAACAAGGGAGCAGCTTTTCATTTTCTTCACCTCATCCAAATTTACAGTCCAGCCTCAGCACTTTCCAGAGACCGCAACAGGTTTCTTCCCATCACCTCCTCTCCCACCTACCCCAAACGCCTTGTTTCTTTCTATCACCTAAAATCAACCTCTTTATCCCTCAGCCATCTCCATCCAGGGCACTCGTCTGGCAATATGGAGCTTTTCAGGCACTTGTCTCAACCGCCCTCCCTCCATCCAGAGCTTTTTTCCTCTCCCATTAGCCATTTAAATTTTAAAAAAAAGTCAGCTTTAAACATTTAGGTGGAGAAGGGCCTTTTTTTATTTCACTTTCTTTACATTTTGCGTCTTCCAGTCCCAGTTCATTCTGACTACAGCTTTTTTCCTTTTTCTTTTTTTTTTTTTTTTTGAGGAAAAAGGCTTAATTATTGTTTATCCGGATCTCCCTGGATCCCATCTCCAAATGACTGTATCATCAACAACCCCCCAAACAGACACTAAGAAAATTCACATGAGGGAGAGACACTGCGAATACTCCCACCACGGGGAACGCGTCGGTCGGAGCTTGCACGCTGTGTGACACCAGAGACCCCAGCTACAAAGGCCCAGGAAATTCGATTTCATTAGTTCTACTCATCATCCCACTACATCCTTCACACTCCTACCGTCTTCCCTTATTTCTCTATTCCCTCCGCAGATCTTCAATGCTTCTCTCCTCTTACTGAATCCCAAGGCATTTCCATTTTATTTCTTTCCCCCTTTTGTTGCTGCAGCCCCACTGCACTTTTCCCCACAGATGTTTTGCTCTGCTCTGCACCATGGAGCCAGCAGGTCCGTAAGTATGGATAGGACGCAATGATTCCTTCGTCTAGGTCTCCCCTCGACTGCACAGCTAAAATAGGGAAATTCAGATGCCACATCTAAGTCGCATCTGGGGAAGCAAATGTGCAGATGAAGCAATAGGCCTGAAGCTACTGAAAAAAAAAAAAAAAGCTGGCTTGAAAGTAAATTTATTCATTTATCTGCAAAACAACATTTTTGTAGCAATATGGCACATTTGTTACGTTTTGAGATTTTGTATCTTAGCTACTTGATTAGTTGTGCTGATTTTGCTTTGTGTTTCTTATTCCCTTGTCTCCCTCTGGTCTCAGGATTCTTTAGTCCCTGGCGCCTAAGCCAAGAGCTTGGCACTGGGATGGGACCGTTGTCTGTGAGGTTTATGCCATGCCCTCCTCTATTCTGAAATGTTTGTTGAACCCTTGCAGTGTTCCAAGTTGTGAACATAACTCCAGTGCGCCTTCCTCCATTAGCTCTGTTTTGTGGCCTGCACTTACAAGGTTTATTTGTCTGGGTTAGAAGCAGCAGAGACTTCATATTTTACTGCATTTTTTAAATGCATTTGCAGAATTTCTTTAGCACGTAAGGTTAACAAGTTGCTCTGATTTAAGCGTGTTCAGCATTTTAGTCTCTTGACAAATGAATAAGGACCTTACTTAAAACCCTTTTCTAAACCTATTTTAGAACTTCTTTTTTTTTCAGTCATGTACATGAGTGGAGCTCGGGTCCTGATGAGCACAAATGCACCTCCTCCAGCAGTCCAGGGTGGGAAGAAACCTCTGCTTACACTCAATGGTCTGAGATGCAAAGGGTAGAAGTCAGATTGTGGGGAAGTGATTCTATGATTCTATGATATAGATTTCCCATTACATGTAAGCAAGTCACCTTCCAGCAGGTTCACTTCCTTCCATTTTCAAAATATTAGGTAGAAAGTATTCACAAGGAGGTGAGGAAGAGCTGAGCTGGGATCACTAAGCTAGGGGGTGCTGTAAAGCTTTTAGGACCGGCTGCACCAAGGACAGCCATGCAATCCCCTAGGGTGCTCATACCCGTGTGCTCCAGCACGCTCAAAGGCTTGGACTGAGCCGGTGCTCGGCTTCCCAAGCACGTCCCCAACACGGGTGATGCTCAAGACCCCAAGGTGAGCACAGTTGTGCTGAGCTGGCTCAGTACCATTTTTTAATGGGACTTAAGAGAAGGCAAACACAAGAACCCTACAAGCGAGGTGATGATCTGCCATGGGTCTCCTGTATCCCTCTGAGTAGGCTTCGTTTCTCTGTGCCTCATTCCTGTACCCCATTTTACCACAAAGGATACTTCTTTCCTCTGCTTGGTCTATTTAAAAATGTCTTTTACAATGAATACATAGGCGTATAATAAGAACCTGATCTCAGATGGCACCATTTAATTTTATTGCAATAATAGTAATAAATGTACTAAGCACAAACAATGTGCTCAATGTAGAAAGAGATTTAATACATTTATCTGGATTTTGAAATTGGTTCTCCATGAATGGACACCCCCTTCTTGTTCCGATCAGAAGTGTCATCTCAGATGGTGCTTTGGAAGATGACAGAATACCTGTCATCCTCATACTGGGGTGAAGTAGAGAAGGAACATTAGATTTCCACTCCAGGCCTGTGAAAAGAATTTCTTTTTTTTTTTTTAGATACTTGGATTTTATTTCATTATGTTTCCTTTTCTTCATTTAATTTAATAATATGTCCCAAATCTATTTATCCAAATGCATCTGGTTTATACTTGAGGAAATACAATCTGAAAAGAAAATGTAACTTTTTTCCAGTAAAGTTGAAAGAATGGAAGGCAACTAATTTTAACATATTGCCACTTAATGTCATCTTGTTTGCTGATAAAATACCTGGTAAAGCCGTTTCAGTAATCACTTCTCGAAATAAAACAGAGCTTTCCCGAGCTAATGAATGGAGATACATTTATTTATTTATAGGATGTTCATCATTTTAATTCCTTTGTGTTTCACAAATATTAGTAAGTTGATCCATGCAGCACTGAAAAGAAGTGAAGCCTTATTAGCTCCACGAGGCACAGAAATCACTTGATCTGCCCACACTTACCAGAAAGATGCATGTAAAGTATAATTAGAACGGGGAAAAAAAAAAAAAGAAGTTGCTCTTGTTACAGTACCTAAATGATAAAAACCTCCCTCTGTCATTCAATATTGCTAACCTTAAACACTAAATATCCTCAGGCAGGCAACCAGGAACATCTAACTAGATAAAAATGGTATTTTCTCTTTATAAATACATCCTTTGATTCCTTTCCTTTTATTTCCTGAGCCTTTACATGATACTTGCGTTGTATTTCCAAGATTTTTCCTGCAGCCATGAGGGCTAGGGAAATTTTTTTTAAAACAACAGTGAGTTTGTCATCTAATTGCACACCTTCTAGCAGCCGAGTTGTGAATAGCCTGCTAAATAAGAGGAGGTCTGTTATATCTCAGGGTGGCCACACCGCTCAGTCTGTACTTGCACTGTTTTCAGGAATTACAATACCGTAATGCATTACGTTAGAATCCATAAATGAAGTATTTTCTTAGATACGTTCCCTTTATGGTGCCATCTCCTTAACAGGTCGATTAGTTATATCTATGCAAATTGGGGGTATCACCAGGATATCCCGACATAAGCTTGCAAAACTATTTAGGAAATAGAGCTGAAATACTGCGGTAAGAGCGTTCAAACGCGACCACTGACAAACTTTTTACGGGCAACCTCTGGGCACAGGTGAATCAGTTAAAGCGGTTTGCATTGCTTTATCTTTGCTCTGACAAAGTCACTGGGGCTTTTACCAACTGATTGGAATTGTAAGCAAGGCCAGCAACGAGGAAACTCCCCCGATCATTGCTGTTTTGAAAGAATATGCAGAAAATTCCCTGTAAAATGTTTTGCTGCTTTCCACACTTCATTATAAATATAAGCTCCAGCTCTGTAACCGCTTGTTTGCATGTCTAATGCTATGCGACTCCGCGAGACTACTCACTCCTATAAAATTAAGATGCTGCATGTGTGTGTTTGCAGGACCGTGACCGTGAGGAATACTTGCTCAATGCAATAACTACCAGTTGAAAAACAAAATAAAAATCAACTCTAATTGTGCCCATTTAAATTCAAACATTGAAAAATAGCTTAAATATGGTATTTCAGAATGTAAACCTTATAAAAAGTCTGAAGATTTCTGGATTCTGTTAGCTCTTTAGTCCCTCCGTAACGAGGCTATTACATGGCATCACTCAGATTGATGTTGAAAATAATGCAGCTGCAAGAGCAGCTGCAGCAAGAATTCACAGAAGCCAGGATGCGAAGCAGGCCCTGCCCACAGTCCCTGGCTTTAGCTTTCTCCTGTGGGTTTTTTTTTTTTCCCCTACTTATTTATTAGCTTAATTCCAGCATCCTCTGAAATGATGCCTTGCTGGGAACAACTGAGGGTTAAAGCTTTAATGGCTTCACTTAGCCTTACAAATGAAAAACCTGGAATTTACTGTCTTCTGCAAACCGGAGTCACTCTGACAGCAGCAAATGCTTTTTTTTTTTTTTTTCCCCAAATTGGACAGTTCAGCGTTGGCCAACATTAAGACAGTAGCAGTCAAGAAGAAAACACAGCATCAAAAAGGAGGACAGATACTCCACGGGTAGGTATACAGGTGTTCAAGAGCATCTTCGTGCTTCTGGTATTTAAGACATTTATGCCTCTGGGCAGGAGCCGATGAACTCGTGGGCTGCCCCCTCAAAACGTTTGTGTCATGTGGCTGGTTTGGAGGAAGGTGCAAGTCCAGCACCCACCCTTATGCTCCCTTTTTCACGACATACGGAGGGTGACAGGAATAAATTGCAACAGCAGAGTGC